AACTACTGCCCTTCTTTCTGTCCTCTTATCAAAGTACGGGGTGGAGGGGGAAAGGGGGGAGTGGAACTAGTTTTATCCCTCATGGTACTCTAATAAAAATAAAGGCAAAATAAAAATAAAAAATAAAATAATGAAAGGTCTCAACGAAAGGAATTAATGTCTACCAACCATAGCCCTTCTCCTCGACCTCTTATCGTGATCGGGTATATTCCCTTATACCTCAAGAACGGATTGTCGGAAGAGGGTACTCACAAAGGGCGATTGAGACGTCTGCAAGAAATCTATCCATTGTTGATATCAAAACAAGAGCTATTTCGGCAAAAAAAATGCACTTTATCTGCACAAGAGCTGTGCACAATTTACACTTGTTACGTATGGTACGCGCGTCAATTTTTAGTTGTACCTTAGCGACATCTAGAAACAAATAGCTACACTACTGCTGCTTGCCGCGATTGTGGTTTACGTTTTTTAATTGACAAAACTGTCAATATTGACAGAAGAGGAGCAGCTTTAGTTAGAGCGACTGTATTTTAAAGTTCAACAATTGCTTAAAATAAAAAATAAAATGTGTCGTCTTATTTTTTTCAATATTGTAGTAATTACTGTCCTTCTACCAAAAACTTGACATGGTCGCTCTAGAGTACCTAATGCATGTAGAATTTATATTTTCAAAAACCACCCTAATAAAGGATTGTATAAGCCTAAAAGTCATTCTCAAAATTCGATATAATTTTACTTGGCAATTTGTCAGTGGCGACGTCTCTTGGTTCTCATGAATTGTATGCCGTCCTTAAATGTAGTGAAAGTTATAATTAGTTTTACAAAAAAGAAATCATATGAGTGCAGTACTCAAGAGCAAATCATAAAAACATGCTACTAGTACAACTTTAAAGATCTAGGTGTTCACGTTGATAGTAAACTGACCTTCAATGAGCACATTCTGCACATAGTTACAGAGAGAGTGCAATATAAAAAGCGTATTTATCAAGATTTTTCATCTTTGAAGGCATTAAGGCAGCTTTATTATTCTTTCGTTAGATCCAAAGAAAGTGTTTGAAGTGTTAGTATTTCAGAGCAAAAGACCTTTACCCCGAAGGAAACGTTAATTTTATCGTGTTGGACCGGGAATACGCTGAATCCAAAGCCTATCTTCACGAAGGAGGTGTACAGCGATGGCATATCTATATAATTTATATTAGGTATGTAACAATATAGTGGAATGTCCTGAATTGATACAGCAGCTACACTTTCATGTGCTTCCATCCATTTTACAAGTGCCGTTATACACTAATCAAACCTTTTATCCTAATTAATACAAATATTTTTCCCAAATTTTCCCAAACCTTCCTTGCCCACTCAAAATTTAATGCTCGGCTACAACCCGGCCCAGATGTACTTTCCAGCACCATGACCATGTACCTACCTATAGGTAGGTATATTGTATACTGGGCGATGAAATTGACTCACACTCTTTAGAGATATGGATATTTTACTTTGAAGATGATGTACGATGTTATAGGTAATATTTTAAGTTTTAGTCCCCTAACAAGTTACAAATGACAAAAATTTTTAATTAAAATTAAGAAATATTTTGGAATTTGTAGATAGTTTAACAAACTGTACCTGTAAGAACGAATAATCAACAATGCAAGTTTTGACGTGTGTGAAAACTTAATCTTAGGTACTGTATTTCTTTTCATATTATAGTAGTTTAAAAATGTGAGTTAGAATGTGATTTTTATTAACATCTTAAAATTTATTGCAATTTAAAGATTATTTTTGGAGGGGCGCATGTCTTTCGGTGTGCCTAGGGGCGCAAAAAATTTAAATCCGCCAGTATGAGAACAACCTTCCTATATGCCGCTATTATATCGTATACCACATCCTGATACTACATAAATGGGGAAATTGAAAATTGAAGACTAAGTATGACTATTATTCTGTTGTGCAATTGAACACAAAATTTAGGTTTGCTATTTATTTATTTATGTACCTATTTATTTATTTATTTATTTATCCCCTTCTTGTTCTGGACCCTCAACAGGCTTTGGCCCATTTACAGAGTGACTCGCATAATGCTTTTTAGAGGTGCCCCTGCAGAAGGTCTTAAGTTGTTGTATACTACTCCGGTATTTACCTTAAGAATTAAGGAAAACTGCAGGAAAAGCTAACATGAATGGATCAAATATGAAACACGCCTTGAAGTTGAAAAGAACGTCACTGAACATTAGGAAAAGCTAATTCGGAGTAGCCGGCAGAATGCTCGAAACTGATCTAAGGAAATTCCCATCTCTAGCCACAGTTGAAAACTATAGTTCCAAATTCAAGGAGGCAAGGCCTTTTCAACAATTAGTCCCTTCGCATGTTTAATGCTTTGTAGCTCTTTTATTAATTAATTGAGTGTAATTATATGCAAACGGTTTTTTAACCAAAATTTCACTACATTTCTTTCGAAATATGTAAAAATGTACAGAGCCATTTCAATATATTTGATTTTGTTGAATTTTTGGACTCGATGTTCAATTTGTTGAACAAGAATGGTCTTATGTATACAGGATGCCCTGCCCATTATGTATGAAATATAGTATATATCACGGTAAATATCGACTGTATACAACAATTTTCTATATGAAAGTTCCCATAATAAGGCAGCATCCCATTATTTTTATTTCAGAAAACAATTGAATTTTGTAAAATAGAAATTCACAAATTCATTAGGCTCATTTTGTTTCCCTTTTCAATGACCGTAGCATGTTAGCATCCATTTGGAAGAAATTAATTTTTATGTCAAGCTTTTTGTGGCAGGTTATGCCACTGCCTTGCAGTTAATGGTGAACATTTTGAACATTCATTGCCATGAAAACCATTTTACTGCAAATTTCGTTTTGTTATCAAGATTTACACTAAGAAATGTACACATTCATTTGTTTTATTTTAATGTAGGATACCTGGATTAATATTATTGATCTAATTATAATAAATTTTTTTATTGATCTGACATGTTTAATCATCGAAAAGATAAAAAAAAATCTCTATCAAATGAGCCTAATGAAAAGGTGCACTCCATTAAAAAAAATTCAATTGTTTTTCGTTACTCATTTGATTTCTGAAATAAAAACAACTGAATGCTAGATTCATATAGAAAATTTTGTATAGATTCGATATTTACCGAGATATTCAGCGATGTAAATTTACAGGAGGTTAATTATTGGCTTCCCTAATTATCTTAGAGGAAAAATCTATTTAGGTTATTTAAAGAGCATTAAAATCCGCATCTTTCTGATATTTCTATCAACTGTTGATTTTGTGGGTATCGGCTTGTTCAGGTACTGATCAGCAAACATGTCTGAAACTTGACGATAACTATTTCCTGGATAATATCATTTCATCATCAATACTTTCTCTTCAATCGTGTAATTCATGGCTAATAATAGAAATAAAGCTTTAAATTTCAGTACGACAACTTCATTTGACAATCAACCTTTACCTTAATTGTTCCCTGTAAATAAGGGGCGATAAGAAAGGAGGAATTACAAAATATTTTTAGCAATATCTCGTTAGGGAGTTAACAAAAACCATCGAAAGTTATTATTTTAGTTGCGGATTTTAATTCTTTTCAAGGCACCCTGGTATATAATCTTGCTAAAGTTAATGATTCCAGAGTCACGAAGGTGTAATTATGTTGCATTATGTTATTATTATTATTAAGAGTAGAAATGTTTCGTATTTTTTAGATTTTTTGGAAAAAATATGACATTATCGCTAAGGAAATAGTATATTATATACCGCGGGACTGAAGTAGCGCTTTTAATCCCGAAGGTAAAGTAATTTACCTGAGGGATTAAGACCACTATACTTCAGTCGCAAGGTATATATATGATATTTTTCGTACTTCCGAAACTGAAACACTTAATATGCGTATGATGGAGTAAGAGACCGCGTTCTTTCAAAAAATCGCTGCTTAACAAGTTACCATAGGAACGTTGCGTTGGTACGACAATCCCTATGCTATGGTAACAAAAATAATTTGGAAACTGTCATTGCTAGTGTCATAATTTTGGTCGTGGGTGACAAAATGTGTATTTCATTTTGATAAAAAGCAGCCAAAGTAGGTAAAGAATTGATACCACCGAAATCCAAAAAAACTATATTAGCATCAGTACGATGCGTTTAAGAAGTAGTGCCGCATACAAATTGTGCAACAACCTACTGAAATTGCCTTGTTAGTAATTTCATCCTTCCGGGATTTTGGTCCAAATTTAATCCCGGCGGGACAAAAAGTGACACTTCAGTACTTGTCATAGGTAATGGAGTGAAGTTGTCACTTTAGTCTCGGAAGTACGAAAATAATGTTTTTCTACAACTGTAAAAAAAACCTGTCATTTTCTGACGGATTTCGAAACGCGAAGTACTAGATTTTTAAACGGTTAATTAATCAGTAAGGTTGCTATTGACAACGTGCGCGAAATCGTCAACAGTGAAAAATAGTATATTGTAATACAAGTGCGGAAAGGGCTTTATTGAAAAACGCGTATGAAAGTTGGAGCACGAGCGTTAGCGAGTGCTCCAATCATACAAGTTTTTCAATAATCCTTTCCGCAAGTGTATTACATACTATTTTTTCTACGAAAGTTCTCGAATTTAAAGATTTAGAGAAAAATTTTATATCAAAATGTTAAAACAACAATTTCTGTATAAATCAAGTCGTAGTACGATTCTCGTGTTTATCTGTAAAAATATAAAATCAAGTCTTCGTGACGCCGCTACGTTGTCTTAGTTACCAACGAGTTGTTTATAAAAAAGCCGGTTAGTAATTTTGCATGTAGTTTTGTACGAAGCAATTTCTTCAGTAAAACAAGAATTTAAAAGCTGAAAATGAGTGTTCATGAAGAAAGTGAGAGCGGCGATGAATTTATGTGCACTCCGCCTGAGGTTGCTGCAATGGCGGAATCAATTATGCCTGAGCTTTTGCCTGAAAAATCGAGAAATCGGTACGAAAAAGAACGAGAGAGGTTTTTTAATTGGTGTAAAATGAAACAAGTCAAGCGGTATACAGAAACCGTGTTGCTTGCCTATTTTGTCGAAAAATCTGGAAAATTGAAATCATCGACACTGTGGTCAATGTATTCCATGTTGAAAAGTATGTTGATTTTGCAAGACAACGTCGACATTTCCAAGTATGCCAAGTTACAATCGTTTTTGAAACGTAAATCTGTTGGTCACAAGCCGAAAAAATCGCTGACTTTTACGAGGCAACAAATCAGTACGTTTTTAGAGGAAGCACCCGATGAAACATTTTTAATGATGAAAGTAAGCACCTATACTTACCTACTATTTTTTCATGTCTATACATTTGTTATATGTCACACAAATAATGAAATTTATTTGTAGGTTGCTCTAATATTAGGAGTTGCTGGGGCTTGTCGTCGAGAGAAGTTGACGAAAATGACGGTGAACGATATCCAAAGCCGGGAATACATCTGACAAACGTTGCCGTTCGTTCGCGTTGTTACCCGTTTTCACCATCATCTGGCAACGTTTGTGGTAACAGTCATGAGCGACAGACACGTGCCGAGCCAGTGCATACGCTAGCGTTCCACATATTCGCGCGCATTTGTGCTATTTTGTAAAAATTTATTTTTTGTTATTGAAATGGCGACTACAAAGGTTCATACCATCGTATGTACCTCTACTTCTATATAACTCGTGCATCCATACACTTCTCTGTTTTTTTTTCTTTTTTTCTTTTTGTCGTTTTAAAATTGTACTTATGACACTGTATGAAGTACTCGCTATAATTAACTGATTATCGGTCATTGTTGAATAAAATTTCCCCGTAACAGTTAAATCGACCTTTTCGTACTAAAACGTAAGCAGACTGGACCTAAACGCTTTAAAACGCGTCTACATAGCAACGTTTGCTGTCACTTGTGGCTTGCCATTTCTTTTTGATCTTTTAATTTTTACCGACATCCGATGGAAAACATTCATTCGCACTGGTAGTGATTTGTACCATATTGAAATCGCTGCGAATCGCGGTCCACACATGGCGAACGCAAGACATAAATGTTTGGCAACGCGAACGAATGACAACGTTTGTCAGATGTATTCCCGGCTCAAGGCGAAGATACGTTTTTACTCGTAACGATTCCAGACTCCAAAACGCATGTTCCAAGAACTTTTTCTGTTAGGGGGGGAAAAGAGAATTGGAAACACTTGTACCAGAAATACAAAGCGCTTCGTCCTCAAAATGCTCAAACTTCGCGACTTTTTTTAAATTATAAAATGGGAAAATGTACCGTACAACCTGTGGGTATTAATACATTTGGAGCAATTCCTAAGAAAATTGCGAGTTACCTGAAATTGCCAAATGCTTCTAGTTTTACGGGTCATTGTTTTCGGCGTACCTCCGCAACGCTACTTGCTAATGCTGGAGCAGACCTTTTGAGTCTTAAACGTCATGGGGGCTGGCGGTCGTCGACGGTAGCGGAAGGATACATAGATGGTTCTCTTCAAGGCAAATTAGAAGTATGTAACAAAATAATTGGTAATGCTTGTCAATCAAATGATCCTTGCACACCTTCGACATGTCAACCAGATGATCCTTGCAAGTTGCACATCTTCGACAGCGTCCACATCTACATTAATAACTTCTAAATGCTCTGTGTCAAATTCGTTACTTCCAGGTGTTAATATAAGTAACTGTTCATCATTTACCATTAATTTAAATATTACTAGCCAGAAGTAGCTGTAATTGTAAATTGTGGCATTAAAATAAAAAAAAGGTATCTTTGTTTTTACTTAAGAGTGTGGAAAATAAGTGTGGAAAAATTTTTCCACACTAGTGCGACAAAACCCTACTTTCAAAGGCTACTTTTTTCTCAGAAAACAAGACTTTCATCACTTTCGTAGAAAAAAGTATTTCGCGCACGTGACAAAGTTGAACTTAAACAGCAAATTTAATTAACAATCGGTTCAGTTGTAGAAAAAATATTGTATATAACGCTAGCGCGAAGTTATAACGCTAGCGCGAAGTTATTTCGCGCATTTGACTGATATTTTGCAGTCTCAATGCGCGAAATTGAACTTCGCGCTCTTGTTATATAAATAACTATTTTGTATTATATAGGATTATTGTAGGTATACGAAACTTTTCAAGCTAAACCGCATAGTTTTCGAAATATATACGAAACACTGATAAAAGCTACTAATTTTCCAACTTTCAAAGTACTTGTTCTGGACGATCAGTTGCGTTAACAACGAACATTACCTAATAATTGATTGGAACCTCGGAAATGCAAAATAAGACATTCCGCGTTTTTAGGGAACGAATTCTTTTCAAAATAGTAAGTCGTTTGAAATCATTGATCAGTAAGTAGCTTAGTGCCAATTGCGAATGCGTGAGAAAAAAGGTCATGAGATGTATTGTGGTGGCGGATATGCTGACCTCCCGTCATTGTCTGTATCCGTTCTTTCGGAGATCATTGCGGGCGCCAAAGATCAACTTCAGTTAACATTCGTTATTATATGGACAGCATATCTAAATAGATTAATTGATTAGCAAAACCAAAGTCCTTCAAAGTCAATTACCATATTAGATCGTTCGCCCGCTTAGCATTAATATGTCACTAAATTGGTTTATTAGACAAAAATGATGTCATTTGGATTGGTTCGTCGAAATGTAGCTGATATCATTCATTAAACAAAAGTTATCCTATTATAAGTTAATATTTAACAACCCACTCATGACAAAAAATATCCCTTCAAAGACTTTCCCCCTCGCTGCCACCGTATTTTCTTTGTTGCACTTAATACTATTATATGTAATAACGAAGTCAACGGCCACACGTATAATAGATACAGTCGACCGTAGAAAGTATATAGATCGGCGTTACAATAGCGTACTAGCACCCTTGTAATGTCAAGGGCGGAACTGGGGACTGATTGGCCCGGCTTCATGCAGGGTTTCGATATACCTAACGGCTCTTATGTGTTATATAACTACGACAAAATGTTTCGTCTCTATGATTTCAGTAGAGGTCCATTGTGAAAAATCTGAGGCGATTACGATACTTCGAATCATAACGTAGGATATACATACATTTTAAAAGGGGATCATTTGTAAGCTTAATTCGGTACCTATGTAAGTAAATGGAGTCGGTTTACTAAAATGTTTTTTATGGACGGGTACATACCTAATATACCTATGGGCGGCTATGTAGGTATATAAACATAGATTTCCTGTCAATCATTTCCGATTTAAGCCAATTTACCATAGTGACTAATTTATCCAATACATATACCTACCTACTAACATATTTTTTGGCTCTCGAATAATACAGTCATTTTTGACGAGCGTCAGTTAAAAAGATGTGGAGAACCTTTGAAAATGAAACTAAACTGATGTCTCCTAAGGGTTTTGGCACGTGATGAATTGAACTAAAATATTTTCAAGATGCACCATCTTCCGCAAACACCGGAAGTTTCAGTTTAGTTTTATTTTCAAAGGTTCTCCACATCTTTTTAACTGACGCTCGTCAAGAATGACCCTGTAGGTATAGGTAATCTGTGGAGCAATTTCTGCATTAATTCGCAGCCGCGCCGCATATTATCATACCGCCGACAATCCCAGTAAGGAAACTCACAAACTTAGCTAATCATTAAAAAATTGTTCAGAATTCAGAATTGTCTTTACAGGGTCTCAAAGAGCAGCCTTGTTTATAAGTCAAAATAACCCAATACGTTGTCCATCTGAAGATATTCAACTGTGTAGAACACTCTGGAACTACGAACTTAATAATGTAGGTACCTAGGTATCTAATAAATTCAGGAAGCAAAAGTAGGTGACGCAAAAACATTTAACAAGCTTTGATACTGATGGATGTGTTGATAATTTTTGAAAATTGTATTTTTTAGAATTTGAAACGTCATAATTCTGTAATAAATTGACATACAAACATGTTGTGAAAATTATAGCAAATTTAACGCCCTACAAAAAAGTGTAGAAATGCTTTTGCCGTAGGACGCAAGGGAAAAAGTGTTTCAGGAAAAACCGGAAAGAGTGTCGAAAGGTTCCCCCCCCCCCCCCCCTGTTAACCATAACTAAACAACATTCCAAAGCAGGTGCGGAAGGTCTAACATTATGTTACAATGCAGTAAAACATTTTTCAGGATAATAAAATTACCATTTACTCTTTCAAGGTAAACAAGTTGTAATCTTTGAAGTACGAATTAATTCATCTTTTCAAATACACTACACCGTCATTCCCACCTTGGATATCATTTAAAGAAAACGTCCTGTTAGACCTAACCAAACTAAAAAAAGATGAAACATCTGCGTCTCTTTACCGAATGTTCTTTGGGGAAATGTTGTCTCATTACAAAAACTATGATATTATCTATACAGATGGATCAAAAACGAATGATGGTGTTGGTAGTGGTGTGTATTTCAACAATAAGTCCTTTACATGGCGTCATAGTATCATTTCAAGCGTATATTCGGCTGAGTTGTATGCGGTGTGGCAAGCGTTCCTAATGTGCGAATATATTACTAAAACGGAAGTTGTCATATGCACAGATTCACTTAGTACTATTAATGCCGTTATAAGGAGACACATACCGCTAGACCCACTAGCTACCTCAATAAAAGAGCGTATATACTACCTTAGATCAATTAATTTTAAAATCTTTCTAATGTGGGTACCAGCACATGTTGGCATATATATGGAAATGTTAAAGCAGATGAAGCGGCGAAAATTTCTTCAAACTATGGGAGCATTGATGAAGTTACTACTCAATGTACGGACTGGAAAGCTTATATAAAAAAAAGGATTATGCGTAAATGGGAAACAATCTGGGCCGAATCTGAAACATTCTTAAGTAATTTCAAAAGAAATGTACGGCCATGGAAAAATGATTATAACCTATCAAAAAGGGAAGAAGTAGTGTACACAAGAATGCGAATAGGGCACACTCCTTTGACACACTTACACCTCCTAGGTAGATGTGGGCATAATATCTGTAGAATATGCGGGGTACTTTATACATTGCAACATCTCTTAATAGATTGTCCTGTATTCACAAATGAAAGAGAGAATTCGAACCTGGATAAAGAACTNTATATACCGTAAACCGGGGCTACTTTGACATGTTTTGACAGGTTTTTTTGAAGTGTAGGTTTTTCCAGGGCCTAAAACTGAAGTTTTTGAATTTGAATGGAACAATTGGACCCTTGTGTATAGAATTGCTAGCAAGTGACTTCCTGAAAGATTTTCCAAATATATTTTTTTATTTTTTCAAAATGGTGTCAAAGTAGCCCCATAGTCGGGGTTACTTTGACATGGCATTTAATACGGTAAATAGTCAAAGATAGATACAATAGGGGCTACTTTGACACCATTTAAAGAAAAAAAACCAAGTTTAAAAAGAAATGAGAGGGTTAAAAATGATATTTTTATTAAGAAAAATGAAATATTTATTTTTTAAGTAAAAAATCATAACATATTAAGAATACAACATAAATTCTAATTGAATAATATAATAATAATCATAAACACTTAATCTTCGTCTTCACATCGCTCGCACTCGTACGAAGGGTCCAAAGACCCTTTGTTGCAATTTCCGCATACCCACTTCAGGCACGTGACACAACAGATCCACTCTTTTTTTGATCGATAATGACGAAAGTCACATTGGCAAATCGAGCAAAAATTTTCGTCTTCGGTGGTATCCTTCGTTCTTTTCGAGCTTGATGCCCCTTGCGTATCTTCAGCGGTGTTCC